AGAGAAGTCGTCTCCACTCTACTCGATCCATGGCCACACTTCGCCAGCCTCGTAGTCTGCGAAGGATCCGCAGGTCGCCTTCTACTTAGCGGATCCACCTTGTCCGCTGCGTGCCTCTTTTTCTTGTTCCTGTTGAGTCGCTTTTGAGAACCATTTTCACTAGGTCGTCGTGCGGCATTCTTACGACGTGCCCAGCCCACCGTAGTCGCCCAATTTTTGCAATGTGGACGATGGATGGTTCTCCCAGCAACTGGTGCAATTTGTGCTTAATTCGCCTCCACGTTCCGTCATCCATCTGCACTCCACTGTAGATGGTACGCAACACCTTCCGTTCGAAAACACCAAAGGCGCGTTGGTCCTCCACGAGCATAGTCCAGGTCTCGTGGCCGTAGAGGACCACTGGTCTAATCAGCGTCTTGTAGACAGTCAACTTCGTGCGGCGGCGAATTTTATTCGAGGGAGCGTCCTCCGGAGTCCAAAGTAGGCACGATTCCCTGCCATAATGCGTCTTTGAATTTCTCTGCTGGTATCATTTTCGGCGGTCACCAGTGAGCCCAAGTACACGAACTCATCGACCACCTCGATTTCGTCACCGTCAATCTGAACTCGGGGTGGAAGGCTAACATTGTCTTCCCTAGAACCTCTTCCTTTCATGTATCTTGTCTTTGATGCGTTGATGGCAAGACTAATCCGCCTAGCTTCAGCCTTCAGTCTGATGTACGTTTCCGCCATCGTCTCAAAGGTCCGTGCCATGATGTCGTTGTCATCGGCGAAGCCAAGAAGCTGGATGGACTTCCTGAAGATCGTGCCACTCGTGTCTATCCCAGCTCTTCTGATCACACCTTCTAACGCGATGTTGAATAGCAGATACGAAGTCCATCACCTTGCCGTAACCCTCTTCGAGATTCAAAGGGACTCGAGAGTGTCCCCGATACTCGAACAGCACATCACTTGTTTGGGAGTTTTTTTTTTTATTGCTAGGAGTAGCACTTTTATGATTGAATATTGATTCAAAGATACATAGATACGCATTGCTTTGAAAGCATAGAGTGGCTGTATTAAGTATTCCAGGTCTTCATTGCAAACCTGGTTAGCTCGTAAAATTAGCTTCACAGTAAAGTTTTAGTATGGTAATGTTGCTGCTATTGCAATTTAGATAGAATTACCTTACATAATTTTGGAGATGAAAGCGTTGTTTTACTATTTTCCACCGGAGGAATCCGCCCGCGAATTAGCGTTTGGTTAAGCATATTATCCGGAATAATTTTCTTACGGAGCTTTGAGACCCAGCTCAAGGCAAAACAAATATAATGGGATTAAAAACAAGTGTTTCATATGTGACATTCAGAGTGACCAGTGAACCGGGGAAACCGGAAAAAGCTGGAATTCAAAGTCGACGGGAAAATCCCATGAATTTAGTTTACAAATATGGAAAAATATACCTCGTCCTCTCTTCGAAAACAATAAGATTTCAAGACCCTTGAACTGGTCTAGATTAGGATAACTACAGTCACTTTGAAGAACTACTAAGAGAATTTTTGGTTTTTTTCCAAAACAAATTTGAGCAGATTTTAGAATGAATTCTAGAGATAACTCTTAGGTATTTCAGAGAATATTTTCTAGGGAGCTTTAGAAAAACCTCTAGAAGAGTTTTTACTAGATCCAAGAGTGAAGAGGATTCCAAGATTCTTGAAAAATACAACACTGTCTGGCAGTGTTTTTATGGAAGAAAAATGTTTGCAATATAATCTATTATTATCTTATACTGATCCCATTGCAAACAATTTTAGCCCGGAAGTTGAAAGGTGATAGCTCTATTCATTCGTCCATACCCAGGTTACTTTCACTTACAACAAGCCCCGCATACACGTAGCACCGATTTAAAATGTCTATTGGTACTGCGTGTACACTTCCATCTGCAAAGCAATTCCTGCTTTGTAGATGTCACGTATTTAGTAGGATGCATTTCATATTTTTAGATCTAGTTGTAATCAGTTAGATCTCACCGCTTATGTATTGTGTCTTTGTCATCGATTCTCGTTGAGTCCTGTTGAATAGTCGGCATCTGTAGTGGAATACTCTTCTCTCTCTTTCTCTATCATTTTTCGATGTTTTTCGTATCTCTTCTTGAATCCCCGTATTCGATTTCAGTTCATTAAATTGTTTCAAAAATTGTATAGAAATCCAAATGGAAAAGTCTCCCCAGACTCCACCAGTTACTCAATATTATCCAAAGCCGTCACCAATCTTCCTTCTCTCATTCTTTGCGAGTATGCGCTATTTTCACTCTTCTTCTAAAATTTCTTAAGGCACTTCACCCAGGTTTTTCAAGCACTCTAGAGGTACGCGTTTTGCCCGCGAATCGGTTCCGGAAGATTCCCTCAGAGAAATAACGTTTTCTCCTCGACAAACACAAGCAGCATGCTTTAAAAATTAATTTTTCGGGACGGGTTCCCCTCGACAAGGACTCATTACTTTTGAAACTTCATTCGAAAAAAATACAGCTGCAAAAACAAAACACGTCAACTTTTCTCCGCGGCCTACCACGATCGTGATTCAAAAATGAAGTCCAACATCGATTTTAGATGTCTACACGTCGTCCCCGTTCAGAAAATACCCATATTTTAGGATATTTGACAGAATTTGTAAAACCGGTGGCTGCCAATTTTAGACGTCTACACCCATATTGTAGGCTATTTAAAAGTGTTTCTATTTCAGATGGCCGCCATCTTGGGTTCCCAAACTGGCAGTGGACATCGAACTTTGACATCTTCGTGTCGTTCTCGTTCCGGAATTACCCATTATTGTTGGGAATTTGACAGAATTTCTAAAATAAATGACCGCCATCTTGCATTCTAAAACTGTGTCCAGCATTGATTCTCAACCTCTACACGTCGTCCCCGTTTGGGAAATACCCATATTGTAGCGTATTTGACAGTTTTTTCAAAACCCGATGGCCGCCATCTTGGATACAAAAATGGCAGCGGATATCGGAGTTTGATATCTAAAAGTCGTCTACGTTCCGAAAATGCTCATATTGTAGGGTATTTTACAGTTTTTAAATCCAATTGCCGCCATCTTGGATTTAAAAATGGCTTCCAATATCAATTTTCGGCCTCTACACGTCGTCCCTGTTCCACAAAAAAACCTTTTTAAACAGGTTTTTTAGAAAACCGATGGCTGCCATCTTGTATTTCAAAATGGCGGCGGACATCTAATTTTGACAATTACACGGCGTCCTCGTTCCGAAAATACCCATATTGTAGGGTATTTGACAGTACATATTTCTAAAACCGAACCATCTATGATTCCAAAATGGCGTCCAACATCAATTTTCGACCACAACGCGTCGTACCCGTTCGGAAAGACCCATATTGGATTCGAAAATGGCATCTCCGTTCCGGAAATACTAAAATTGCACAGCAACATCCTATATGGGCAGGCTGTCGAGACATAACATATTCAGGAAGTTCACATGCATGCTAAAGCCACGTAATGAGAGAATTCTGAACTAATATTATCGCCATCCGGAAGATCGTGGTCATCTGAACAACTTTGCTGAAGACAGTAACTTTCTATATGTCCATGATCTCGAGGTAGCTTATACAGGAAGTTCATGTGTACACTAGCGCCGCGTAGTGTGAGAATTCTTAACTAATAGGGCCACCTTCCGAAATAACTTTATCACCTGAACAACTTTGCTGAATACAGTAACTTTCTATATGGCCAGGATCTCGAGATACAGAATTTACAGGAAATTCAGCGCCGCGTAGTGTGAGAGTTATAATATGGCCACTATCCGAAAGGACTTGGTCACCTGAACAACTTTGATCATGACAGCAACTTTCTACATGGCCAGGATCAAGAGATATCCTGTGTTGGAATCAAATTCCATATAATATAGCGTCCGTCATAAGTAATATGAAAGTGATGCGCCTCTAGTGGCGTAGTTCCCATTTAAACCTGAATCGAATGACACAGGCTTGTTGGTCTAACCTAGTACGACAACTTTGTCGAAGACAGTATAGCAACCAAATTTGAGATAATCCACCACAGCCCCTATTATTTAAAATCCCATAAGCTGTGAGTATGCTTGTTCGCGGATAGCTTAGCAATGAGGATCCCCCAATAAGGGATACCGGCAATAAGGATTCCTGACTGTATAACTCTTATTTGAATTGAAAGGTTCGTCGCCTTTTGTTATAGTGCGTGCGTTGAAGTCGCCATTTTTCACCGTGCTATACGAATATAGGAACTAGCATATCATCGTGTGCTTCGGGCTTTACGTCGGGTGGTTGATCGTGATACACGTCGTTGGATGTATAATCATATGATGAAACAACCCCCCCCCCTTATTTTTGTTCATTAATTTATTTGATAAAGCCCAACCGAATTAACTTTACAGAGCCGAGGATTCTTGTTCACTATACAAAATATCGTAAAACTATAGTCAAACGGTACAACACAATAAAAACTTTTTCTTCCGCTATTCAAAAAGCCTCCTCCATCAGAACGGGAGCCGCTTCCAGCGGTTTCATTGTTTGTCAGTATCGCAGCAATGGACGCAAAACGTGGTCAGCACTCACACACTCATCACGAAACGGTTGCTTTCCAAAGTCGACGACGCATCGACCGAAAGAACTGTTGATGAAGAGTAATGAGGAGAACCACACAATGGTTGCTGCCGAGTAAACACAGACGATCGCGTAACACACATCGAGAGTGGCCTGCTTCTGTCGACAGCCGAGTGAACACTCACAAACCACCACCCCCTTCTCGGTAAAATCACCATGCGTCTCCATGGCAAAAAAAACAGTTCAAAACTGCTCGAATCCACCATCTGGTAGTCGAAACCAATACACCAACCGGCTCTATCTACCTACAAGCCACATCTACATACCTTGGCTGCTCTCTCTGACTACCAACATAACGGCAACGGAGGCAGATATTTTTACCGTATGACAGTACGACGACGGTCTACCTACCTACATAGCTTTCCAGAAGAGGCTAACACTTTTTTTTTGTGTGTCTATCGGTTCCTACAATTCGCGACGGCAAAGTATTCCTCCCTGTTTAGCCAAGTTCCTTCCATCTCGAGATTTCCGCGTCCGAAAATAGACCGCGGCCCGCGGAGAAAGCAGTGCAATATCCGCTCAAGAGTGTAACCTGCGACGCATCCAGGGCAGATTTCTGATTTCTGCTTTCTGTCTGATGTAGTGTATCTAAACATCGAGAAAAGGTCACACCAATACACGACCAGCGCCAGGCAGAGTCAATCCGAGAAGAAGGAATATTACAAATAGTAATAATTCCTTTCCATGTCTGATGGTCAGCGCCAGACTGGCGTTTGAAAGTGCAGTCGTCGTAAATATTTTCGGATATTTCCTCAGCCCTCGCTCGCTGAGGAGTGTGATTTGAATTAATTTTGTGGGTGAAAAACGTGAGGCGCCGAGTAGTGTAGTGCGCGTACAAGAGGTTGATGTTTTGTGTGTTTTGATCTATCGTCGTGACGAAAACGATGACAATGGTGTCCAAGTGCTGCAACTGGCTGTGTTGCATATAGGGGTCAGTCCCGTGCTAAGGAAGATCATAATTTTACGGATGCATCGCGCTATGCTGCTGTTGTGCGGTTGAAGATCAGCTCATAATAGTTGCATTGGATGTCCCAGTAATACAGATAGACGGTCAGACAGACAGAGGGAGAGAGCAGCTGTGAGTAATAACTATTCCCAGGGGAAGTGCGACGTGCCAGATTTGAATCTAAATCGCAGGATATGATCCAGGCGGAGGGGAAGTGAAGCCGTGCCAAGAGATTTGTACGTTCCGAGTAGTGAGAGATACGCCAGGCAAGCCAACAAACAAGAATGCGTACTATTCTATTCATAGCAGCGAGTCTCGCAATATGTAAGTATTTGGATCTTACTATTATATCTACTGCGTTTTGCTGACGGAAGTTTGGAGGTGTGTGTGTGTGTGTGTGTGTATGTTTGTGTTTTGATCGTGTCGAGTTGGGTGATGGGGATGTTCAGGGCAAAGATCGACAGCGTTGCGTTGTAAGTTGAAGTTTGTGACGTAAAGCAGTTTTGGATGTTTGACGAATGTTTTGACTGTTGTAGGGTAAATGGCTCGAATGTTGGCCTATGGATCTAACGATTGCAGCGGGTCACAAAAAAGTCCCTATTTTCGACAAAGAGACACGGAAAAAGTTCACTCCTGCTTGACAAGAACAAAGACATTCCTGCTTGAATTGCAATGAAAAATTCGTTCAAAAAATAAATAAATTAAAGTTGTTATAGTGCTACGGTATGCCTGATTCCTAGTTGGAAGTTCATTAAACATATCATTCACCGATGAGTTTTCAGGTTCAGGATTAATTTCTTTATATTTTGGCGTTATTTATGATTATTACAATTGTTTGTGGGGTTGGAAAACTAACAAAAAATGCATAAGCTTGTTATCAATTGACGTTGGAGTGGTTTTTATGAGTTTAAAGCTGTAATGATTTTTCGGCGTTGTAGTGTGAGTGGGTGAATATGCATGATAAAAGTTGAACGAGAAAAAAATCGGACACATTAAAAACGATGCCATCAAGGCATTTTTTGAGTATTTTTTTAAATTTCACTGGATTAAGCTAAGGTGTATATAGACTGTTCCAGAAAGTATAAGCACACTCTCAAAATAACAAAAAAGTCATGTTTTTTAAGTTTTAATAGTTTTATTTGGCAAATCATATTTGTATTTGTATTTCAAATGATATCTTACTCTCGTTTAATCAACATATGTAATCATAGCCAAGACTCCTAACTTTTCCTCGAACATGACCCATTAGCTTCTGCACAGTGGTACTTCCCACCATTTTGACCACTTTTGGCCAATCTTTTTTGAATTTTTGGATGTCGTCCGCTGGTTTTATTAATTTTCGAAGCTTTGCTTTGGTTAAAGCCCAAAAAGTCTCGATTGGCCATGCCTCCGGGCAGTTCGGCGGCTGCATGTCTTTCGGCACGAAACATACATTTTGACTTTTGTACCATTCTAAAGTGTCCTTTGCCTAATGACATGACGCCAAATCAGGTCAAAATACTACTTGACCTTCGTGCTGCCTGCCAGCAAAAATCGCTTCTGGAGACATTCCTAAACGTATTTCTGAGTGTTCATCGTCTCCGTTGTGATGTACGGACTAGATGTTTTACCACACTCGCATATTGCCTGCCAAACCATAACCGTCTTACCGAATTTTTCGGTAAAAATTGCCTTCTCCGTTTCGGGGATGTCCTTGCCTTCGCTTACAGTATAGAATTGTGGTCCGGGAAGCGTTTTGTAACCTAGTTTTACGTACGTTTCGTCGTCCATTATTATACACCCAGAATTTCGACACAATAACGAATCGTAGAGTTTGCGGGCCCGTGGTTTCACGGACGCGGCCTGTTTTGAGTTCCTTTTGGGTTTTTTCTGCTTCCGGTATGTTTTTAGCCCAAGTCTTTCTTTGGCACGCATGACGTTACTCGACGAGGTCCCTAGTTTTTTTGCAACATCCCGAACGGAAGTCGCTGGTTTTTGTTTGTAGGCATCCTTGATCTTTTTATCGATATCCTTACAGGACCGGATTTCCGGCCACTCTTCGGCGCATCTTCAAACGTACACTGTTCTCTATATTTTTTAATCGCAGTTCGTACCGCTCCGACGCTTACACCCTCTTCCTAGGCCAATTTTCTCAAGGAGAGTCCGCTCACAGTGCACCATTTGTGCACGATACTTTTTCGTTGTTCCGGAGTAAGACCACGCATTTTGACAGGAAACACAAAACTGAGTACTTTTTTGATGCTATGTCATTCAGAAATGAGCAAACAAAAAGAAGCAGCCAAAACATGTTGAAATATTTCATTATATTCAAAATGACTGTTAAAATAAGGTGTGCTTATACTTTCTGGAACAGTCTATATAATCACAGTAGGCATTGGTTGTCAGGATAAGTTCATTTGTTTACATCATGGCTTCGCCGGAGCAAGCATGTCGCGATTCGACCATGCACGCTCGAAACGAAAATCTCGGTCTATCCGCTCCTGGCAGTTTTCGATCAAATTCCTGGGCAGAAATTTTATACCTCGGTTGACTGGAAGAGTGTAAAATCAAAAAGAATCTACAGTTGTGTGTTGAAAAGCGAAACTTTCGTTACGTCTGGGACCATGAACCAGCAAAATTTACCAGGAGGAGTGCCTTTGAAAGAGATTAGTGCCTTTTTTGGAGCAGCATGAGGTGGATTTCCTATTCTGGCCGGAATTGGCAAGCTGCAACTACTCAAATTCCACCAAACAGTGGTACAGCGAAAATGGCGTCTCAGTAAGTGGTTCCACCCAAGTAACACAAATTCATAGAATTGAGTAAACTGCTATACAACCAAAACTAGTTATACAAAGGTAATATAAACTGTTATAGAACATGCGGGGTGCTTGGGCAAGGAGATCAATCCTGCCAATATTCCGGAGCTAAGGACAATTGAGGAATACTGGTCAATTGTGAAGCACGTACTGAAGTGTTTATTTATTTATTTATTTGTCTGCATCAACAGGCTGTGTAAAGCCCCAATGATGATTTAAGTAACTTATATAGGTTAATCAAAAAATAAAAACTAAGAATAAAATACATAAATAAAACACACAATCATTCACGGTTAACTGTGCCAGAAAAGAACGATGAGAAGTATCTTCGTAGCAGCTGTCGAGGCATATGGAAATCGAAGATGCCCGAGACTCGATTGAACACTCGTTGCAGCCCACCTATTGCACCGTTCATGCCATAGTTTGTGCGCTGAAGTGGCAATCTCAGCAAAACGTTGTTACGTAGCGCACGGGGTTGGACGTTAATGTTGACTTGCCCCAAGATTGCACTGCAATCAATTCTACCTTGTAAAGTGTCCGCAATGAACAGGGCCCTAGAGGTGTCTCTTCTAGTTCGGAGAGGCTCCAGATCAATCAGCTGGCAACGACTTTCATAGCTGGGCAGATGAAATGGGTCTCTCCAAGGCAGCTTCCGCAGAGCGAATCGAAGAAAACGGTGTTGAACGGACTCAACTCTCTCAGCACCATTGTTGTAGTTTGGACTCCAGACCACAGAACAATATTCCAGAATGGATCGCACCAAGGAACAGTACAGTGACTTCAAACAGTAGATATTGGAGAAATTCTTTGCTATCCTGAAGATAAATCCCAATGTCCTAGACGCCTTGTCGACAACGTACGAGATGTGCTGCTTGTACGTAAGTTGAGAATCTAGAATAACACCCAGATCTTTCACATGGTTCACACGGTCGATTACAGTGCCGATAAGTTTGTATTCAAATGTGATTGGTTCTTTTTTCCGAGTAAAAGTGATCACTGAACACTTAGTGGGGTTAACCACCATTCGGTTCAAATTACACCAGCTGGCAAAGGCTTCGAACTGACGTTGAAGGAAGTAACAGTCATCAATCGAATGGATTCGTAGGTAGATTTTAAGATCGTCTGCATACGATAGTCGTGGACCTTCGATGACCAAGTTCACGTCATTGAAGTAGAGTAAGAAAATCAAAGGTCCCAGGTGACTTCCTTGAGGTATTCCTGACGTAGCTAGATAGATATTGGACCGGTTGTCATCAATGGCAACCATCAGTTGCCGATCAGTGAGATATGAACGAAACCATCGCAAGAGGTTGCCGCTGACCCCAAGTCTATGCAACTTGGCAATCGCGATGGCATGATTTAGCTTATCGAAGGCAGCTGACAAGTCGGTGTATATGACGTCTGTTTGAGTCCTCTCTGCCATGCTTTCCGTAAGATACGATGTCAAACACAGCAGATTTGTGGAAGTAGAACGACCGGAAGTGAAGCCGTGTTGATCACCACTTAGATACTGCTTACAATGAGAGAGTAGAGGCTCCATGATGACTAACTCGAATAACTTCGAAACTGCGCACAACGACGTAATTCCACGATAATTGTCCACATCCCGTTTGCTGCCCTTTTTGTGGATAGGAAACATATGTGCGAATTTCCAACAAGATGGAAATGTACCACTCGAGATGGACAATCGAAATAGGTGAAGCATGGGCATCAGCAAGCTGGCGATATGCTTTTTCAGGAATACGGATGGAACGCCATCGGGTCCTGGATTGAAGGACGACTTGAGTTGTGATGCGGCAGTGGAAATCATCTCGACGTTGACATCCATCGCACCCAGTGTTTGACCGTACAGTGGAACATTACTAGTTGCTAGGGTAACGTGTTCGTCAGTTAATCTCTCATTCGTGAAAACACTGGCGAACCTCTCAGAAAACAAGCGACAGATCTGCTGAGTAGTGGAAGCAACTGCTCCATTTCAACACCATTCCTTGCGCTGCTCATTTACGTAATTCCAGAATGACTTCGGGTGCGACTTGAGTTTCCTCTGAATCCCTCGTTGATATCGCGAATAGCATCGACGGCTAACTCGCTTGAACTCATAATTGAGCCTAACGTAGTGACGTTTCAGCGAAAGCGTACGATACTTAGTGAATTTTCTTAATGCGGCTCTCTTGGTCGACTTCAACCTACGCAGTTCACTCGTCTGCCAGGGAGGATGAGAAATTTTACAGTGAACTCTTTTCGGAACGTGCCTGTCAATGACATAAGCCAAGACATGTGAAAATGTTTGCGCAGCGGTTTCAACATTATCAGGATCGAGGATGCTCTCCCAATCTATACTAGATAGCACGTTGACGATACTACGGTGATCGGCTTTCCGGAAATCGTATGACACGGTCGTGGAAATGTCGTCAAAGACCCGATCGTGATTGTCAGCAACAGTGACAACCAAGGGAGGGTGATGATGTACTTGCTTTACTAGTGGAGAAGGTGCCGTGGAGATGAAAGGAGCGGTGTCCTGAACGCTAA